AGTAAAATCATTAAACCAAAAATGTGTTACATAAGAAGTAAAATCATTAATAATCATAATTAAGAATAACATCAATCTCACTTCTTGAAAGCATCCCAAAAAACGCATCGTGGATTACTCATCCCATCAGTTCTGATATGATAAAATTTGAAATTAACCGGATAACTTTCAGGCAACGGAATAGAATTCGCCGGATCGTTTACACTAGCACCTGTCATAAATGTTTTATTTGTATTTTTTGGAATTTTTCAAATTTAATCTGATCCTCTCAAAATTGAGTGTGGAAATTCTAAAAGTAGAGAAAGAGTGAATGTCGCATAATTCACTAAACTGGTCAAGAAAGCAGAAGCTATTCAACACCAAACTGAAAAATAAACAATGCGCGAAAATTTCAATATTTGATTGGGATTACATAAGGAGAAAAAGCAAATCTCTTGTCTGTAAAGAAACCCTTAATGATAAAAGATACATGAGAACTTTTCAAGCTAAATTTGATTTAAAAATACTGCTTTCTTTTAGAAATTCGTACATATGCAAATCAAAACTTTAATTATAAGTAATCTGAATCACTAAAGCAGTACTTCGAAAAAAATTATTGGAAAATTTGAGGAATACCAATTATGAGACTGTTGGTAATGGTAGTTTTGTTAATATTCAACAATGCTCCTACTGATCTGAACACATAATAAGCCAAAACAAGAGGATTTGTATTCGACGGAATGAGTCGTGATCGCTGCAAAATTGAAAATGATTTACAAAAAACTTTAAATGCTTTCAATCCTCTAAAATAATCTTTTAACGAACTAAATTGGCTTTAAAATCTTTATTTAAATAGTACTAACAGGACGCGCGAAAAGGCCGGAATCATCAAGCGTAGACAGGAGAACTGCAGTCTGCGTAGACTGCCCTAAAACTATGATTGATTGAAATTTCAATGAAAACTGAGAAAAAACTCTTCAAAGAACAACTATTCTGTTGCTTACATTCATTTCTGGAATACAAAAGAGAAGACCAAATTCGAAGGCAAAACAAGCAGAGGGATAGAATCAACCAGTTATGACATTTGCATAATATAAAAATATGTTATTCCTTTTACTATTATTAATAAATTGCTATAGTTTAAACTATGCGAAGAAAAAGAAAAAAAGAACAATAAACCTACAAAGTATTTTCAATGGTGGCATTAAAAGCACTGGTGACAGCGAGAAGCTGAAAGTGACATTTCCATTGCGACTGGACTCATTAAAATAAGCATTAGTAGAACTTGAAGAAATATTTGGGCCAGTAAAAGACATAACACCAAATAAAGGAGATCGGCGAACTAATTTTGATTTGTCGTTATCACCCACATTACTAACCGCCATAAGAATAGGTTTTTTTACTTGCACTTCGAAAGCTGTAAGAAAGTTGTTTTTAATCAGGAAATGCTTTGAAAAATACCGTCAAACTAATTGAACTCATTAAACTTGAAGATTGAGCATTCTCTTAAAACTTTCAGAAGTCACAGAATTGTCAGTTTGAGAGTAAATTCGGGAAAAGCTGTAGTAAGTCGACGTACAAAACTTCTTTTAAAAAGTAAGACAAATGTGATCCAAGCTAATCTCATTTCCGAACTACTGAATCTCAACTCCGAACTACTACTTCTAGACTGATTTAGATTTTGAACGACTCTAAAAGAAGTACACATGCACCACAATCGTAATAAGTTACCCCAGTTGCTGTATTCAATTTTTTTCTGGTTTTCAATGATAAACTCAGCAAACAATGTAGCACTTTGTTCCAGTCCTGATATCAATGAAGATACTTTATGTATTCGAACATCATCCGACAAAGTTAACCAAACATTTGTCGCATGGTCACTCAGCAATTCATTGCCTGCTTCACCATACATCTGTCAATAATGTTTCATTTAAGAAAATTACTGCACTGTCGAAAAAGTATCTCTTTTAGTTGGACTTTTAGAAGCACTTAAGCTACAAATGAAAAAAAATGATCAAATCAAATGTATACTTTCTAAAGGATAGTAAAAAGTGATAATTCTGATGCGCAAAATTTATAGAGCAACAAGCAAAACCTGTGTGAATTCGACAGCTTTTTCATATCGTTCCTTTCTGTCATCCAATACTGCATACTGCACTCTCGCCAATGACAACAGTTTTCTGCCAATTTCGACACTAGCAACTAAGTCACCACCAAACAACCTGAGAATTACGTACTTCCGAAAGAAACGTCTTAAAGAATGGCGGAGTAGAAATCAGATCAGCCGAAGGATAATACTCATCCGGATTCAACCGCTTTCAGAACTACATGTGTCAATAGTAGTATAAATAGGAATTTGAGAGTAACTTGAATTTTCGGAAAACAAAATAAAAGTTTTGAAGGAATCCCCTAATTTCCACTAAATCCAATTTTCAAAAAGAAAAACTAACATTTGATTAGTTGAATTTTGCAAAAACTGAACCCATTTTCGACTGATATGTTCTGCAGGTGCATCACTATTTATCATTTGATCCAGCAATCCAACCCATTTATGAATACAATTTGTCGTGTTCGGTTTTCCTTCCCATCCGTTTAACTCACAACTGCATTTTTGTGTTGTCACACCTTTAAGCAAAGATTCTGAACTGAAGGAACAACAAAATTATTTGTATAAGAAATTACGAAAGCTCATTGTCGAGGCATGTTGCATAAAATTTTACTTAGAAATGTACAAAAAGGCATAACTAAGATGTTTAATGGATACAAAATGTAGCAATTCTTTACCGATGGTATTTTCTGGATCTGGACATGGTATTTGAGTTTCAGTACAAGCCAACGTACGTGGAACGGTAATTCCGTCCCAGTCGTATTCTTCACAGAATGAACGCTTCATGCGAAGGCTTGTTTCATCGTCAGCGGTACTGCTTGCAGCACTGAAAGTAGAAATTTTTGATTTACTCTTCACTGATTTGGAACGAAGTTATCCCTTAAAAACGGATAGATAATCAGTAGTTGTTGTATGATATGTTCGGGTCCAATCGCTTTTGAAATGTAATAGCATACTTCGAACTTTCTACACTATTCATATAACCAGTACGCATCGTTGTGTCTGCTACAGACTCATTACTTATGAATCAACTGCTCGTATGTTACGGCTTGCGGAGAAAGCCCCAAAATTCCTCTCTTCTGAGAAGTCTTGCTTGTTTAGCCTAACTCAAACTGAAAGAAAACAGACAACAGCAGTGTTTATAGCATAAAATTAATATTGGAAAAAAAAATACCCGTTTTGTGTCCTAACGGATATGAAAGTACCACTACAAACAGAAAGATAAAAGCGAAGTAGCAGAGCGATCATAAAAACCATTCTATTCAATAATTACATGAAGTAAATAGATATTCAGGAAGTCAGTAGATCTAAATTTTACAAAAATATTGATAGGCTTTAATTGAGTGGAATAAATAGCCACTCTATCCTTCATCCTTACAGCTAATTAAGGCTTGAAGGAAAGCTTTCTTTCCAAAAAACGCAGACTGAAAGTTTCATGTCCAAAAATCCCTGATATTCACAAAAGTTTCAATGAAAAATACAACTGAAATATCAGCCTGTGACAGTTTTTATTAGTTCACGTAACTGCTGAGGTTAACAAGTTGACAACAGCCTTCTTCTTTAAATCTTACAAAAATATCGATAGAACAGTTTTAATAATGTCCCAACAGAAGTATAATTCCGTAAAGGAGAGATTTTGGAGAGTTTACTTAAGGTCAATGTGAAAGTGAACAGCAATAAGTGGAAAGCAAAGTGATCCAATGGAAGATGAGAGGCAGGCAGTTAAAAGAAACTGGTTTCCATCAGATAGCGTCGAAAACCGTCAAAACGTTTTAATTGTAGGATTTCTGCGCCACATATGAATCATCGCTTTTTGTCTAATAATTGACTCACAAGTTTAGTATTCGAATACTTGGAGGATTGGATGTCATGAAGCGCCCTTTCTTTCCTCTTTCAACGGCTACAGAAATTTATTCTAATAATAAGTAGAGAAACAAAAACCTAGACCAAATAGTACGACATCCATTAAACATGCTAAGAATTAAGCGAAGAGTTGATGATACTCTGATTTCCTATATGTTCAATTTCTCTAAATAACTTAGACGTATTTAAATTAAAAAATAAATGTATGAATATTTCAATTTGAGTGTGGCTAAGATTTGCCCAATTCAAGTGATTTTAAAAAATGAACATTTCCCAATCAAAACAGAAAATTAATGTCTCAAATCTTTTATTCGCGAATAAAACAAAAGCGAAATGAAAATATGAAAGAATTCACCCATATCTAAAATTCAAAAGAAGTGTTTTTCTGACTTCTGTTTTCAGTTAATAATATTTCAATCATACCACAGAAAAGGTAGATAGAGAATATGAAATTTTTTAAATAAATTTCGAAATTTAATGAATGGCTTCATTGGTTTTAACGGCAGACAAGCTTTGATAATTATAATAAAAGATAGATAAATGCAATGAAATGGTTGGAAAAAACTTTTTCGAAGTGTGAGTTTATGAAAAATTGTCAGATATTTCGGGAACAAAGAAGTCAAAAAAGAAAAATATTTTAATAACATTGCAATTAATATTTCTTTAACTTAGTAGTCAACATTTTCCGGCTGATTTATAACAGCCGTATTGAACGTAATTCAAATTAGTAAGACCTTTTGGTGAAATTTCAGTCTTTTGTAACAAGTGGTACCTGTAGTACTTGTCATTCAAACCTTTCAACATTCGTTAATCCATCGACAATAGCATGCTGCTCTACAAATTTGTCGTATATTTCAGTAGGTTTACTCTCTGGCGCAAACTGACAAACCCATTGCTGACTGCTATTGCAATTTCTCTGACTCCAAAAAGCATTTCTTCTACTTATGTAATAGCATTCGCAGAGCGAACTATCCCCTAATCTGCAAGAAATAAATCCGTCCATAGCGAAAAAGACAGAGGACAAAGGAAATAGAACCCAAAGATAAGCACTTAATGCGTCATAAAACGGAAAATTTTACAAATCCAATGAACTTAGAGATTCTGAAAATTTCTTTGAAACGATAGATATATTTAAAAGGTACCAAATATACCTTCCATCCATCCAATAACAAGAACTTCCATCATTACCAGCTTGTTTCCGCACTATGGCAGCAATTTCGTTCTGTGCTACTTGGCCAACAGAAAAAGCCAGCTGCCCACCCTAAAAAGTAAAAAAAATCAATCAATCAATCGACCAACCGACCAATCAATTAATCAATCAATCAGCCATCGATCGACCAACAATTAATCAACCAATTAATTAGTCAATCAAGCGATTAATCAATCAATCAGTCAATCAATCAATCAATCAATCAATCAATCATCTATCTATCTATCTATCTATCTATCTATCTATCTATCTATCTATCTATCTATCTATCTATCTATCTAATCTATCTAATCTATCTATCTATCCATTTATATCTATCTATCTATATCTATCTATCTATCTATCTGTCTATCATTACTTCTTTACGGCATTTTGTTTGCGCATTGTACATTGAAAGCGGTTCTTCCGTTACGTATGGAACATAACATCGTCCATTCTGATAGATTGCATGTAGAGGACATGTTGTCATTGGCTCTAAAAATATGATGAAAATATGAGTGGGATAATTCAAACAAAATATGAACTTGAAGTCTTTCTGTCAGGATGAAATTATTAAACAGACCAAACAGACATCGCATCCGATACTGCAAAGTGATAGGTGTAGTAGGCAAACAAGGACTGTCTGGAAAGAGTGACTGAAGATCTTTGATTCGGCAATAAGTGAGACCTTGACACCTGAAAGAATGTTCTCGAGAATCAATAGGCAACCTGTTGCAATTAAAAGAAAGAAGTTAAAAGCTGACATGCTTATCATTGTTTGCAGACTGGACGGGTGTATACATTCTTCCCAATATGTAACATTTACTTTCGTTGGTACGGAAGTTAGGCATATTTCGTCGGATTCCTGAAATAAAAAAGAAGAAATAATTTAAGCGACGATTTAAATGCTTTTCAAGTGCATATTATTTGTGACAGAGGTTGAAAATGATGCAAAAATAGTGAAGAAATGCTGTTCACAATAATTTTTTAGGTCCTTTTTCTTCTCTCTAATCTCATTTCCTCTGTTTTCATTCCATTTTCCCATTTGTCTTCCTTTCAGTAGCAGGAGTTAAATGCTTTCTACATGTAATGCTTCTTCATTTTGTGCATAAGAGATTTTATTATGAATATCATAATGCTAATTACGGGTTTTTCCTGATAGGTTTTATGTAAGACTGCTACTTCTCTCTTTTTGTTCGTTGCCTTCAAAGTGAGTTATTCATAATTTCGCGTAAAGATTTGATGAATTTGATTTATTATAATTTAGGCCAAGTAACATCAGAAGCTCTTCTAAATCTCACCGAACTAATCAAAGGAAATAAATACTTCCATTATGTAATCCACCTGAACGAAAAAAATATCATGATTTATCATTTTCAATGCAAATTCTTATTTTAAAAGTTCAAAGGACAAAAATTGATGTTCTGGTTCCTGAACACTCGTAAATTTTTTTACGAAAGGAATGAATTTAAAATTTTTTTTGGGAACTAACTCCAATATTTCCATATGCAGCAAAATCGACAAGTATTGAACCCCCATGAGGACATAAAAATTCGAATTCATTATCGACACAGGCAACACTTTGTGATTCAAATGCTACACCTTCAAACATTTTACATAATATGAGAACAGTAACGTTTGAAGAGAAATTTTGGTCTTGGTTTTGGGTCAACTGTCAATGTGTCAACCAGACAACCTCTCAACATCACTCCAACAAGTGCTCTAAAATCCGCATCTAAATTTACAAAGTTTTTGAGTGGATTCACAACTTTCAACTATGCAATTACTTTCAATGTTACGTAATGAGTGACGTAAAAGAGTGGTACCAGATTCGCTGAATGACTGGTCACAAAAACTCCCACGATAACCATTACGACACATACATTGCACATTTCTTGATTCACCCATTTCTAAAATTTCACTTTTATAGCTTTTTGTGATTCAGAATGTGATATTTAGATTCCAGTATTGTTTTCTAATATATTACAAGTTTATTTCGAACTATATTGATTAATAAATATAATTTTAAGCAGCTAAAGACGGGAGAGAGAGACAGAAAGAATTATCCTCACTTGCAGGTCTACTGCAAATGAAATAATTATCATTTGAGCAATTGGCGAGAATCCAATCACGGAACATCGATCGCGAATCAACTTCGATGCAACTTCCTACAAATGAATTGAATGGATATGCAAGAGAGAAAATTCTGCGGGAAAGGTAATAGATGAGTTGAGGGATACCTTCGGTCATTTGTAGTTGACTATCTTCCCACAAATCGATTTCTTTCATATGAATATTTCGAGTCCAAGCATAGATATGATGGGTACTATTCATCATCATACGGCCAGCAGTCCAGACAGCAACATTGTGTGCTAGAATGGAATTTTTTGAATAAACAAATAAAAAAAAATGAAATGGAAGATGAATTTGATGGGGAAGACTGATGACAATGAAGAATGGCATCGAATTCAAAATGTTTCGCAAAGGCAGATTTAAGTTATAGAAAAAAAAAGGCATGGAGTAAGGTCCTCTGTTTACTGAAAAATAGATGTATTTGCTTCCTTACTGAGCATCTTTTATTTGTCTGACAACATCGAAAATCGTTCACAATACTTACCTTATTGTTCGTACCTAAAATCAGTTCAAAACCCTACTGTGTTTGAGAGATTGAAATGACGGGGTATAAACATTTCACAAACGGTTTAATAGTGTAGAAGAATGTGACGTCAACTTGAAATCAATTAAACGTGCTCTTATGGCGGCGGGCGGAAAAGTACTTCAATTATGAAGAATCAAATGTCTCACATTCGATACTTTTAGACGGGTCGAATTTAAGCCTTTTCCTTAGGCAATTGACCTCTGAACCAATTGAACAAGATGTGTTGCAGGTGTCTTTTAGATCAAATTTGAAGATGAAAATTTTCAAAATCTCATTGTATATTATATTTATTTAGCGACAAGACCTGATAGGAAGAAAAGAAAAATGAACCTGAAATATCTGCTTTTAGGCTTGACAGCAAATAGTCCGATATAAATAGCTGTTGAAATTTGCTTTCAATTGCCATCAAACTGCCTACAATTTCATTTTTCACTCTTACTAATTATGTTTGTTGATCATTTTATCTGGAGATAACAAATGGTGGATAAGTAATCAGACAACAAACGACAGCGAAAAAAGTATGGTGATAAAGAAGGAAAAGTATTTAACAATTTGATACTTCGCACACTTTGCATATTTGTTTTTAATTTTTGCCAATAGTATAATTTAACGTGACAGGAATTTTTACTGTCATTTTCAGATAAGAAAATTTGTTCAACATTATTAAATTTGGCTCATTCCTCGCAAACTGTTTTGAATAGATTAAAATTTTCCTCACTTTTAGAGCGTTCTTTCATCAGTTAACTTTAAAGGTAATGAAATTTCAAACTTAGCATGAATTTGAAGGATTTCCAAACTCAGCTGAACATGGAGTTCAAAAGTCAAATGATAATCCGTTAATGCATGGTAAAAAGGACAAGTAATCCCTGAGTAAAAACGATGAAAATGTGAACTTACCGCCATTCTCTTCGCATACTTCATTTGCTTCATCCCATGTCTTTCTATCCTTCACAACTTTATAACAATTTCCGCTGAAATATGTTTCTTCATTGTGACACAACTGATAAGCTGCTGATTCTGAAAGTGGGGAACTCATTCGAGTTTCGTTTTGACGAAAGAAACGTTTTTATGATTGTTTTAAAATTCAAAAGTTCGTCAAAATATTTTATAGCTTGCAAGAAGTTAGAATGAATCTATAAATTTAAAAACTAAGTATCTGAAAAATTGGCAAATTTTCGTTCTTTTCACGGAATTCACTACACTTCGTAAGTGTATTCGTTCACATTTGAGTGATGCTTACTGTCGATCAATTTACGTACGAGAAGAAAGCCAAATTATAACAAACGGTGGAAATTGCAGCTTAGATGTAAAAAATGAAATATCATCTTACTGGATGTCAGTAGACAATTTCCATTGTTCAAACAAGCATTAGTTCGGCAGTAAATAGGCGCATCGCCGACAACGGGCGCAACTAAAAATCATTTGTTGGGAATGAATGTCGTTACTCATAGATAGATATCCTTTGATAATGAACGGAGTAAGAGATTAATGTGATCACATGAAGTATTTTTTATCAAATTCTTGCAGGTATTGTTTGGGGCTGTAGAGTTCTCAAGTCATTCAGCTTCTCACAAACCCTGAATTCTTACAAAGTCCCAATATTTTTAGTCATGAGTAGTGTGATACGATGACTGCTGTGGTGATTTTGCCGCATCCAGAATGTGTTTGATGCCGAACTGATGGAACATTCAGCTCTGAGTTATTGTTAACTTATGATTTGTCTAACTCTACTAAATAGCCAACTACTATCAAGTGACGAATTATACAGCTGGAAGTAGCAAAAAAATAAAGAACATTAGTTACAGGTGACATTTTTAAGAAATAAGGTTTGGACATCCTATCGCAATGTAAGAGTGACAATGGGAGTAGTATGATAGTATTACGGAATACATTATTGGGAACAAGCTGGACCAAACAACTAGGACAGCCAAAGCGTAATGAGTAGATGATGAGTAGACAGATTGAAAGGAAGTGATTTTTACTTTTGATCTCATAACTTTTTTTGCATGGTATTATTTAGCCTCTTTATAAAACCATAAACTGACTTGTTTGCATGCAGTTACATTACGGAGATATATTCTAGCAAACCGAATGAACAGTTTTGGGAATCATTTTTACAATTAAGCTAATTACAATAAGATAATACCGCAGGTGATTATATACAGAGCCAACATGTCATAAATTTTGTGGCAATAGAAAGTGGCCGAATAATAAGCACTGATTCAAAATTTGAGTATTTCAATATAAATTCTTGGTTTGTTACACCTCACATCCGTACACGAGATGATAAGAAACATTTGATTCACTTCGTGTCGTTCTTTTGCTCCTATTTTCCTGCAAGTAAGATTTCCATTTCAAATTATCCATTCATATTCTGTTTCTTGTTTTAATTCTATATACGAGTATCAACTTTCAACCTCCTGATGAATAATATTTCAGTTGTTAGTCGGTGACAGGAGCAATAATTGTCACGAACAATAATCAATAACAATTATAAATGGTATAATAATTACGATCTTTCAATTCACCAACTAATTGTTGCACCTGTGGATATTCGGACGAAGAATGGATAAGCGAACTCCGCAAACAGATGTTATCAATTATGATATTAGCCATTATTAGTAGTAAATATTAGATAAATTCCTATCAGTATTGGATTAAAATGATTTTATTTGCTGGAAGATGAATGTGATATCTTGTGATATCTCTTATTAAAAGAATTATTATCAGCTGATAAGAGATGAGATCAATGTCAGGATAATTATGCTAATGCGAAGTTTTATGTCTTTTTGTCAATTGAAAATATATAATTCTCTATCCTGCTGTTTGGAAAAGCTCTTCGAATCTAAAATATTTCAATAGAGAGAAGGTAGATGCGAGAAATTGGAGAAGGGATTCCACGCTAATAAGGCTGAAGCACAAAATATGATTTTAATCCTTTGATTTCCAAATTTCGATCAAACTAGCAAAATCGGAATTTTTGGTTGAAGTTTATGGAGAATGCTATCCTGTTTCTGCTGTTCTCTCAAACTTTTCCTTCAAATATATTGGTTGGTCCAACTTACAAAGGAAAAGAAAACTAAGTATGAAGATCCCAAACAAAAAATAGAAAGTAACATTTTCAACACGAAACTGACTGTTATAACAACAGCGCCATTTCAACAGAAATTAAAAGAAAAAGAAAAAAGAAACTGATTTCTAAGTTTTGGGATTTGTGTTGTTAACGCATGTTTGAGTAGATTTTCGGCACGTATTATTTCAATTATATTACTGCTTTCGAAATAAATGAAATTTCTAATATTTTCCCCACAGTGTTCAAAAATCCACCAAAAACAGTTTCAGTTTGAGTCATCAATGCTTCAACGGGAACATAATCAAATTCTCGAGAATGCGACTAATAACAATGGATATTGTAGAATAACGGAAATGACATATTTATATTTCAGTTATTCTTAAAAACAATAGAGTTAGAAAAGCTGATTGAGACAAGGCAAGCTGTAGCTTTAGATGGATGTTCTAAATATCTCTCCTTCAACCTAAGCATCTTTTGAGTAAGTTGTAGTATTTGAAAGGACTAAATTACTAGCACTAACTTCCTTTCCTATCTTTCCAGATAACCTTGAATTAATTTTTTTCTTTGGAGAATAAGATAGGACCATTCATCTGACAATCAATTCATCTGATGGGAAAGCTTGTGATATATGCGCCTCATTCTTTTCTACTAAACATGTTTTGCCTTTTTCGACAAATACAACCGCATAAAAATTTCTCATTGAAACAAAATTTGCTATTTATTTTTGCAAGAACTTCAAATAATACTTTTTTTTGAAATTTATGCCAGCTTTTATAATACTTGGTAATATATGAAAAACATTAATCGATTTCCCTGTCTACAATCGACAATTTTTACGTTTTGTTTTCGTTACATTCAATTACGTTTTCGTTTTTTTTTTTTTTTCTTGAGGAATAAAATAGAACTTTCATATATTATTCGACAAACAAATTATCTGATGGAAAAACTCGTGATGCGTCTCATTTTTTTTTTTGATAAAGGATACATTTCATTTCATGTTTCATATGAAAACTAAAAAACTAAGCTCACTACCGTTGAAAACTCTTTTTCAGTTCGTACAGGAACTTTCTAAACACTATAGAGTTCAGATTAGTATTGACTAAAAGGAAGGAATAAAATCAAAATAGATGAGAACATGGCATTCTGTGGAGGAAAGCATTAGCAGCGATGAAAACGATTGATATTATATTTCGGAATGCATACATTTATATGCAGCAGCTGTGAACCATCAGATCAGCCTTTGAAAATTTGCCAAAGTCATTCGGATCACTTCCTTTCCTTCTTTTCAAAAGCAATCACGTCCATAAGAGTGGATCTTTTTTTCTCCTTCTTAAAATTAAATTATAACGAAAAAGACTGTAGATGAAATTGCTAAGTTATATTGAAGTAACCGGATGAACAAAAGAAGCACAAGTTCACTCGATGATTTCACGATTTTTAAATTAACTTTAGTATAAGAAATATATGAACTGAAGATTTCTGAGCACATAATTTGGGAATTAAATTCTTAGAAATTGGTAATAATTTGTTACAACAATATTTTCAAAGTTTGAAGATTTTGGAAATTCACATGAGTTCGGAACTTTCAGAAGAATTAATAAATTAAGGAATAAATTTTTCATTTTTTGTGTTGCACATTAATGTATCGAAGTAATAAAACGTAGACTGTATAAATGAAGAAATCAGATGGCTTATTGATTTAATCGGAGCACTTCAGCACATCATCTTGGTTAGCTTGTACTTGAATATGAGGTATGCTGTGTGCAAAATATAAATGTTCCTAACAACTGCAGTTCCAAACCACACTGTCAAAATGATCACAATAAGTGCTCCCCGATACATTAATCCTCCTGATTCAAAATTCAAAGAAGTTTTAATTCAGTACATGTTTAGTATAAAGAGTTTTTAAAATGCTTAAATTCCCAAGAGTATGAGTGCAGAATGATCCATGCCATAAATATAATAGCATAGATGGCATGGAACATAGGGTTAGAAAATTAGTAACTCTTTTTCTTTCTCTTATGATATCTCTTCTCAATTAGTACTGCTTTTAAAGCATTCACTTCATGAACACTTTTTCGTTAACCTTGCTTGCTTTGAACTGCATTGAAACTTTCAGGTTTTTAATACTCACTGTGAAAAACGAACGACAAATAATTGTAGTCGAAAGCTTGGAAATATTCAGAAATCTCATTCAGCCTTCACATCGACTTTTGCTGTTGGATATGAAATGTTTCTCGAAACATTTTTAAAGATTGCAGTCCACCTTTCTTTTTCATCAAATCGATTATTTTGCAGCAAAAGTTAACATTTTTGAATGTCGTTTGAAACATTCGAAGATTCATAAGTTAGAAAAGTGGATCTGAAATGGTTTTCACTGCATCTTCAACACAAGGTAATGGCTCTTTCCACCAAAACCGTTCAACCCCAAGATTTCTCGATGCTAAAACTCACATTCTCTTTAAAGAATTACACCTCGTAGTACATAGATAAGCAAATACGTTCTCCATTAAAATATTGCAGGAAGTAAATGAGAAAAATAGAAAATTAGCTGTAATTTCAAAGGTCAAATGTCAACACTGATCCTAAGTAATGAACTGCAGCACGCTTTCAAAACAATATTGTCTCCTTCCGGTTATCGGAATTCATTAATTTTGTGAACACGAAATACTATTGGCATCAAGGAAATGAAAGTAAAACTTTCCTGTAGTGTGTGCTTCCCCTCATTCCCAGCCTCTGTGGGACTTTTCTTCTTTTCGCTACCTTTCAATTCTCTTCTGCTTGCCTTGAAAAAAAAAAACCGTTACGGAAAAACAACGCAAGAGGATTGCTAAAAACATCAAACTGCTTCAAATAACATCATCGATGACAGATATGCTCCCAAGCACTCTTGCATACTGCACGCTTGATTGTAGCAAGTAGCCAAGACTGTAAATACTTATGGTTAGGAATGAAAACAGAAC